TGGGTATCTATCAATAGTCATTTGCGCGCAGTGACGCTGCGGGTTTAGTTAGCGTTCGGAAGCGAAGCAACGCTAAAAGATGCTTGTTCATCATATCGGCATATTCACCAACCAACTGCAGTCCCAATTCACAAAAAGATGAATTCTACGATAAACTCATCCAACTCATCCAATTGAGCCGTAGCTTTGATGTTATGGTGTTGTCAGGTGATTTCAACTCGCAGGTTGGAAAATTGAGTCCATCCAAAACCTGTCTAGGGAGGGGGGAGGGGGTGGGGCGTTTCACTCTCCTCCCCAGAGAACAGACTAAGGTGTTCGACTACTTCAGTTCTGCGTAGATCACCGATTGTTATCATCTAGAGCCATCTTTCGACACAACTCTCGTCGGGTGGTAACATGGTCTAGTTCAACGGATAAGTTGACCCGAATTGACCACAGCTGTAAGCTGCCGTTGGCGAGGCTCACTACAAAATTGCAGATCTCATTGGACTACCTGCGTTGAGTATGATCACGCACTTGTTCTAATGCGATTCACGCTTCGACTCATCAGTCATCGTGAAAAATCGCTTCCTTAGGTAGCTCATCGTCGTCTGCACCATCCATAGGTTTGCGCACGTTATGAGGAGAAGCTAAAATAGAAGCTAGGAGCAGCGCGAAGTGGCGGAGTAGACCAAAGGTGGGATCAGCTCATACGTGCAGTGCATTTCGGCAGCAAACTGCGACTTTTGCAGCGACAGCTCACGAAAAGCCTTAGGAAAAATCGCGAAAACAAGTGCACCAAAATATCCAATAAATTGAAGTCACTTCTGCATCAGGGAATAGTCTCTCATCGACCGCATTACTAGTTTTCGCAACATCTGGTCGGAGGAGCATATCATTTTTATCTTGGGGTGAATCGTTGATCGTTTTGATCTTCCAGACGGGACCACGCAACGACTGCGCCAACCACCGCTGGATAAGTTTAGTTCCGATCATCACAAAATGTTGAATTCTGTGATACTTTGCAGCCGGACACCCTTAAAGGAGAAGAATATTCGCGGACACCAAGCAAGATTCCGACCAAGTCGCGGTTGCATCGACCAAGTCTTCACTCTGCGTCAAGTCCTCGGAATTTGGAGTGGCGAGCTACATAAGGTCTCGCTATTTTATACCTAGTTTGAGCCAAACGACAACTGCCTATCACCAAACCAGGATGAGGGATCTGCCCAGTGCTCTTTATCTACTGTTACTCAATTCCATCGCTTATAAAATGCATCAAAGTATGTAGAGAAATATGTAGGGAGCAAAATCAATACGAGGACGAACGAAGGTGTCTGAATTCGCCTGAACTGAAAAAAAAAACAAATCCACAAAGTATTTTTATCACTGCGTTAGTCTGTTTGGTTTTGCAGTTTTTTTCATCGTTCTCATTTCTCATTGTTCTCTATGATCAATCCTTCCTTTGATGTCGATTCTTATTGTGTTTATTTTCACTCAGCCGCATCATTCTCCCCATGACCGTGGATGAGTTCATGATCGGCCAGCTCTATTCCGTGGCTGAGATGTCCAAGAACGAGACCGGGGGTGGGGATGGTGTGGAAATCCTGATAAATGAGCCGTTCACATCCACCGAAAATCAACCTGTCCCACCCTTGCTTAACGGTGACCCACTTTACGTGAAAGGCCAGTACACGCACAAATGCTACCACTTGTCCCAAAAAGTACCCGGCATTGTACGCGCATTGGCCCCATCCTCAGCCCTGATCTTCAACGAACTCGCTTGGAATGCATATCCTTACTGTCGGACAGTTATCACGGTATTGTGGTTTGTGAAGTTTTGTGCTCATCGTTTCTCAACTCCTTTTTATATTTCGTCCGAATAGAACAATTTTATGAAAGAGTCGTTCAGCGTGAGCGTGGAGTCTTTGCACTCTCCGGATATTACCCTAGAAAATGTAAGTATTTTTTTTGTTCGCTGATGTGCCCCACGGCTGTTCCTGTGATAGAACAAACACTTTCTAATCCCACTACGTTGCCAATTATCGCAAATATCGTACCGCTATATATATATATATATATATATGCACGTCACAATAGGTAATATATATGTATTTAGTTATGGGAGCCGACAGACCCAAGGGTGGGAAAAGTGAACTACATAACATCCTCAAAATATAGACATTCTATTGAACCAAGGGATAGCTAAACGGCTACATAACCAAATTGGGCAGTAGTAGACACCACTGACAACAGCTGGAAATACTCTAAAACCACCACCCGAGTTTCTAAGAGCCAAATTAAACTGTTCGATTCGCAATATTCTCCACAGGTTAGCGCAATAATTATAAACCCGAAGAAGCCTGCCGGTTGACCCCATTTTAATCGCGGCTGTGATGCATTCCTATTGACCTACTTGCTGTGGCCTCCTTTCCCTCTCCTGCTTTTTTTGTTCCCCTCTTCAATCCAGATTTCACCTGCTGCTAATAAAGTTCCATTCATTTTCCGGCCACTTGACAAACAAACGAACAAATCAGTTGTGCTAATCGATTGATGCAAAGTGTTATTGCAGCGAGAGTTTCTAGGCCTATGGTTATTCAAACGTGACTTTCAGTTCTATCCCTGATTTGATCAATACAAGCCTCTGCTTGTGTGATTGTATGTAATCAGCTCTCGGATCAGTTTGGCGAACGTAATTGCACTTGTCACGGTCCTGTTTGACCTGGTTTCCCCTGTCCATTTTTCATCACGCGAAGTGTGATCTCCCTTATCCTTCGTGATGAAGAAGTCATTGAATTTGGTTACATCTTGCATGTTTATTAGCTTAGAATCGATCGGCTGTCGCATCCCTGAGAAATGGTAAATTTGGCGAGTGTATTGTTACATATCGTTGTTCCCCGTCGATCAGACAGGTCATATGAAGCGATCTAATTATGGTTCACCAGACTGAATTCAGTTTGAGTATGAAGTTGAAATCCGTTTTCTGCTATCGAAGTCATATAGTGTACACTGATACTGTAGAACATCGAATATTTTCTCTAGCACAAGGTTCACGAGGTTTTCCCCCCTAACGAAACCCAAACGTTTCCTCATTTCGAAAATCCATGGACATGTAACGTACCAACGAATGTATACATTTTATTGTTAATTGTGACATGTGAAATTATTGGGACACTTAGACTATGATTGATGTGTGATGCTTCTGCGGTCTATTGGCTATTTTTTGTAGTTATTCGCTAAAGTCTGTCACCTATGATCATCCATTTGGTATAAACTCATTGACACCCGTCGATACAACAACTTGCCACGAGGAAGTTAAAGGAAAGCTATTTCATTCATGCATTTACGCATTAGCATATGGTATATCTCTGTGCTCAGTAAAATATTGCAGAGTCGATTAGTCGTCGCAGAGTGACCCTCAGTTCTGATCCGCTTACGACAATTATAGATGTCAGAGCAGTGAAAATGGAGCTTGCATTAACAGTTTATACCAGAACTATGCAGTGGATACTTCTTAAAATGTCATCGTGAAATCATAAAAGTTGACGCCAATAGATTCATGGGGTAGAATACTTTTGTTAGACACATCAACGAGATTCGGTGACATTCGGTGATAAGGAAAGGTTCAGCCTGATTCGGTCGGTCAATTTGCATCCCTATTAACATAATCCCCGAAAGGTTTAACTTGCATACTTCCGGTGGCGTAAGAGTCGACGGCCGGCTAGGCGTACCGTTCGAAATCATCAACGGCGTCTGTTGAAAATGTCCTGTTTCAGCATACCTATTCAACTTCGTCACAGACAAAATACTGGAAAATGCACTAAGTAATCTTTAAAATGTTGGTATTGAATGGACACTTAGAGAAAAGCTGTGCGACTCGGAGTTCGCTGATGATATCGTCTGTCTGATCGAGTATATGGAGAATGCGCAAAGCGAACTTGACTAACTGACAAGTTGTTACTCCATTGGGCATTCGCTTTGCACCTTCAAAGTGCAAAGTGATGCTGCAAGACTGATGTTTACGTCAGTTCTGATGCTTGATGGTCAGAAATCACTTATGGTGGATTGCTTGTCCTACGTAGGCAGTTGCGCAACCACTGCGAAAGAAACAACCGCAGTCATTTCTACTTCTCGCGCAGCATACGCAGGACTGAAACACTTTCGGCGTACACGAGACGTTTCACTGCAGTTGAAAGGTTGTTTACATTGTGTTATCGTTCGTTCGGTTCTGCTTTATAGTTTGTGAGGCCTTGCATTTGCGAGTCGAATATATCCATGGAGTGGAAGTGTTTGACTATGGATGCTTGCGGAGTTTAACGCACGCAGGGTGAACTGAGCGGGTTGGTAATCTAGAAGTAAGTCCTCCTGTGTTTGTCAGTTTATCGGGGATAAATATGCTAGTTCATTGAATTCAGATTAGTAGACTTCGCTGATTGGGACACTTTTTGCGCATGCCTAGCTGTTGTCTGCCGCACCGCATATTACTCACTGTAGCCGCTCCGGTTTAGAGGAAATCGTGTGGAGGTCATTAGATGACGTGTAGACGAGTCGTGAAGAAATGCACAGAATTATTTAGAATTAGTGTTTCTCATCTTCCACGTTGGGGTCGGTATCTACTTAGTTGGAAACACTGAGGGATGTGGCAACTAACCGACGACAGCGGTGTTCTTGCTGTCAATTTTTATCAATTAAGAATGCTTGAAAAGGTATGTATGGCTATTTAGGTTATGCATCCTGCCTGAAAACCACGGAGATTCACTTTCCCCCTATCGAAACAAGCCTGATCCCTGTCCACCTTAGATATTCTCACTAACTTTGTATGCATTACGAATTTGGCGGCAATCGGCAAAATTCACTTTACAGTATTTTTCTGTTCTGTGATGATGACCGAAAGGAAGAAATCATAATACTGTTGATGGCGTAATGAGAAACTGTGGATAAATGTTCTGCGTCAGTTAACAATTGAGGACGGGAATCAAACCCGAAAGGTTTATACAGGTAAACAAGTGCAGCAGTATGTGCTCAACATGATAAAGTCACAATCTGCGCGTCAGGCATCACAAATCAATGGGTAATTTCGCGTCTTACGTTCTGGTCTTGATAGATATCACAGAGAGTAAGTAACCTCGGATGTATATCGAGATACCAAGATCTGTGGTTCCGTTACTGGACTAAAGACCTTAGACGCAAAGTTGGAATGTATCTCTGCACCACAGTCTGTACATCGCCGTGTGTTTTTTGGTTTTGAGCTAGACTTATTTAGCCAATGTGTGTTTTTCCCTTTCTGTGGAATTTCAAACCAATGAACATTTTCTGTGTGCTTTACCCAGTGTTTCATATTTCGTGTGACCAAGACCGATTTCAAAACACTTCAGGAAGCTGTTTTGACGTAAGATTTTCCGATTTTGTTTGACCTTCACATGGCGCATCTAAAGTAGTCGGCATGTCATGTGCGTTCTTTATTTAACTGCATTAAGCTGACTACGCCTAATGTGGTGGGCCGTTTGTTGTTGGCTATCCGTCCACCGTCTCTGGGAGGTATGTTGAAACCTGAATTGTACGACCAGTGACTCCTCTAATATTAGCTTTCAATAGTTTTATCGTACGCAGCCCTCATTCCTGCATCTACGATGCACATATTTCGGGACATGGATGCTCGAAATCAAGTAACAGCCCGAAGTGGTGCTGTTTTCTCATTTCATACAACCTTAACCATACACCATTTATGCACCGGGTTTTATTTCTGACTTTTGGCTTTCCAGTTCAGCGAAGGAGCAGGGGAATTAAAATGTTGGAATTAGTATCATATAAAGTTAGAGAATTGATGGAGACTATTATTGGGAGGATATTGAGTAGATGCGAGAGCCTCACTGTTTGTAGCACCTAACCAAATCACTCACTGTCTAACAATCGATTACACTTATTCCGAGATCCTAAACAGGAAGCCCAAGTAACCGAGCACCCTGATTAAGATTTTCGTGCACCGATATGGACCTTCGCCTGCTGTCTGCCTAGGTAAACATCTCACTACATAGCAATCTATTTGGTGACACGCCTAACTCATGCCTGATCGAACGTACCCTATAGAGGCCGGGAACTGGCTCCAGTGCGCTACAGTGATTTTCATAAACTCTATCTCTGATTTCAANCTCACCAGACCGGTTCGATGCGGTAGACACCGATAATATGTCTTTATGCTGTTCCCTTAACGGTCGAGACTCTGCATCATATAGCAGCAGCAGCAGTACCAAACGAACTGTTGCAGCGTATACCCGACCCCTTATGAACAATCGAATATTAGCGGTGGCTTTATAAATGTCTCAAGTTGGAGAACCTCAACCGAATCTCCGTTCCGACATCTCATATGTGATGCGTTCTCCAGGCGATATCTAGCCTCCTAAATTAACAATAATGGTATACTTTCCCTTGCTTCCCCACCCACAATGAGGTTGGAGCCAGGATCGATCTAATCCGTTGGGGCGACCGAAAAAACATCGCTGANATCGCTGAAGTCAAGCACAGAGTAATCGGGTCTGGGTCTACTATCCGACCTTCATAGATTACTTTGGTTAGACCATTTGGTACGCATACCACTAGATAGATTGCCTCGTTGCGCCATTTTTACTGAGGTTGGTGATGGGTGGACAAAATAAAAGGGTGGTCAAGCTTAGATCTGGCATGGAGGTATGAAAAGCCTGACCAAGAAACTAGCTGACATAGGTCACCTTTAGCTACTTGGTTGGGGATTGGGATCAGTGTAAACGACGGTTAGATTAAAAATTATACTTTA